GAGATACTGGGACTATTCCCCCGTTTACTGGGTCTCTTGAGATACTGGGACTATTCCCCCGTTTACTGGGTCTCTTGAGATACTGGGACTATTCCCCCGTTTACCGGGTCCCTTGAGATACTGGGACTATTCCCCCGTTTACCGGGTCCCTTGAGATACTGGGACTATTCCCCCGTTTACTTGGTCCCTTGAGATACTGGGACTATTCCCCCGTTTACTGGGTCTCTTGAGATACTGGGACTTTTCCCCCGTTTACCGGGTCTCTTGAGATACTGGGACTATTCCCCCGTTTACTGGGTCTCTTGAGATACTGGGACTATTCCCCCGTTTACTGGGTCTCTTGAGATACTGGGACTATTCCCCCGTTTACTGGGTCTCTTGAGATACTGGGACTATTCCCCCGTTTACTGGGTCTCTTGAGATACTGGGACTATTCCCCCGTTTACTGGGTCTCTTGAGATACTGGGACTATTCCCCCGTTTACTGGGTCTCTTGAGATACTGGGACTATTCCCCCGTTTACCGGGTCTCTTGAGATACTGGGACTATTCCCCCGTTTACTGGGTCCCTTGAGATACTGGGACTATTCCCCCGTTTACTGGGTCTCTTGAGATACTAGGACTATTCCCCCGTTTACTGGGTCTCTTGAGATACTGGGACTATTCCCCCGTTTACTGGGTCTCTTGAGATACTGGGACTATTCCCCGTTTACTTGGTCCCTTGAGATACGGGGGAATACTCCCCCGTTTACTGGGTCCCTTGAGATACTGGGACTATTCCCCCGTTTACTGGGTCTCTTGAGATACTGGGAATATTCCCCCGTTTACTGGGTCCCTTGAGATACTGGGACTATTCCCCCGTTTACCGGGTCCCTTGAGATACTGTTCCCCCGTTTACTGGGTCCCTTGAGATACTGGGACTATTCCCCCGTTTACCGGGTCCCTTGAGATACTGTTCCCCCGTTTACTGGGTCCCTTGAGATACTGGGACTATTCCCCCGTTTACCGGGTCCCTTGAGATACTGTTCCCCCGTTTACCGGGTCTCTTGAGATACTGGGACTATTCCCCCGTTTACTGGGTCCCTTGAGATACTGGGACTATTCCCCCGTTTACCGGGTCCCTTGAGATACTGGGACTATTCCCCCGTTTACCGGGTCCCTTGAGATACTGTTCCCCCGTTTACTGGGTCCCTTGAGATACTGGGACTATTCCCCCGTTTACCGGGTCCCTTGAGATACTGTTCCCCCGTTTACTGGGTCTCTTGAGATACTGGGACTATTCCTCCGTTTACCGGGTCCCTTGAGATACTGGGACTATTCCCCCGTTTACTGGGTCCCTTGAGATACTGGGACTATTCCAACGAATTCTGATATTAGGCTGAAAAAAGTGTTCACCTTACCATTTACCAGTTTTCTCTGTGTCGCTTTTAAAATATCAAAATATGCAAACCTTTAAAACGTTTTAAAACTTAATGAATAACATCGAAACATTTTTAACAATATATCAGTTTAATGGACCTATGATAATACGGAATACCAGATCTGTGTCCTGAAGATTCTAATCTGCGTACTCTGGTCGTTACTTCGTTTGCCCTACGTAATTGTTATGCTCCCCGACTGTATATTTTCTACTCATTTTACATCTTATTTCTCGCCATGAAGCTTAATATTTATTGCTGTATCACGATTATGTTGCCGCTCTATCGCCATCGATCATTGCTCATTGATCAGCTCATCTTACTGCAGTATGTAATATGTATTTTCTTTCTTATTGCTCGCTTGTTATCTTGATACATCTGAACAATAACAGCCTAATCGATATAGCAGTAATTTTGAACACTAACTCATTAGGAGCACTATCTAATTAGGAACACTAACTAATTATGAAAGCTAATTACCTCAATGCTCTTGCTGGTCAATACTTCGTTACTCTGCTGGTTTTTTACTTTATCTTTAAATCACCTGACCATTTCCGTCCTCCAGCTCCAGGACGTCGTACCCAAGAGCATTGTGCCTCTTGCCTTACGTTCAGGGTCAGGGTCCTGGGCACGAGGTTCTGGGGTAGAAAGTCGTTAACCACTTGACCCTTTTCAAGCACTACTGTAATTCAGTTTAGCAGTGGAATAAGGAATTGTAGTGAGGGTAGTCTGGACTGGAAGAAGCTTATAAAGTGCTGATGATAATATAATATTGTTAGTGAGCTCATACTATGTAACTAGTAAGGTTCTGCTGTTCTGTATAAATTGGTAGAAGCTGTCTGGAAGAAAGTGTTGAAAGTTCTATTATAGACTTGGTACTTGGTAGTAGGTCCGTGCCATTTCACCGTCTGGCGTCTCAACAACTTGGTACTTGGTAGTAGGTCCGTGCCAGTTCACCGTCTCAAATGCAGCCGTCATTTCTCGGTTCTCTGGTGTTAGTAGTAATATGTCCGCCACAAGCTTGAAACTGGTGCCTAGTACAGCCTTCTCGGTATTAAACTCAAATATGTTCATGTTGTCAGTTAAAAATTGAAATCGATAACTGGTAGATGCACCTTTTTCCTAAGTAAAGAGAAATCTGTACTTAAATTCACTGTTCTGTTCAGCATTCCTGATCCCAGGGTCTGATTCGAAGTGTCGACAGAGATTCACTTCCTCCGACTACAGGCTTGTTTTTGTATAATTAGCATTAATCCCACATTGATATTTCCATTAGTCTAGACCTGTTCGAGAATGTTCACTCTAACAATTTCATGTTGAATGCCGATATAATTTCTGTACAATAGTTCTTTAGCAGATCCGATACAATAATAATACATTCATACACCCACCTGATGCGGGAGCTTGGTTCACTGGTCCTTCGCTGAAAACTCTTATTACTTCGTCACTTTACCAGGACTATGTAAACCAGCTCTTTGTAAACTCTTATCACTTCCTATTGATTTAGCTTCGTCATCTTAATATCTCGTCAGATCTTGGTACTGCGCCTCGGGTTTATCTTGTTTCCAGATAATGTAGATCTAATTTCCCTCCTCTCTAATCTTCAGCAAATAGATCAATTCTTACACCCTTACTCCTTAGCCTGGTAATGTTTGGAGTCATGACTTTTGAATATCTAAGTGTTGCCGCATACCTGCAAAAATATCTTAAATTATATTTTTTCATCAACTTATTCTTGAGTTGATTTATCTACTAATATAAAGCTTGTGTTGTGTCATTTTTCGTTTTTTTTGCCGCCTTCAGCTGTATTTTGCTACCATGCTGTGTTTCTTCAAATCTAATTAAAACACTAACAGCTGACTAGAACTGGCCACCTAGCAAAACTTTTTCCGAATCCGCACATTTCAAAATCCAAAATAAGAACTAGAATCTCAGCTACTCCGCAGTATTATCACTATCTTATGCCGTGTAGGTAACTAGGGAACGGAAAAGTAGGGAACAGCAAAGGTCAATATCAATTCGAATTTAATTTTTAAAGTTAGCGTCAATGATACTGGGGAACGCTTTCGTTATCCAGTGATTATTACGGAGTTTGATTACATCACGTCCGTACAAGTTTGGTCCTCAAGATAAGTGTTTTTCTTATTTGATCATGGTAAATAGCCCCGAACTGTAAAGTGTAAGTATCGCTTCTATTTCAGCTTTGTATATAAATTTAGAATTGGCCGATTATTAGATTGCTGAAAGGTTTGGCGAGACTTTTGAAACAATCCTCTGGAGTTAAAATACCTCTCCCACTCGTTCCTTATATTACTGCACTATACAGGTATCTTTATTATTGTAATTGCATTATCTGAATGACTTTAACCAGAAATTAAGATATTTACTACAAGAGTAACGAGGTACGAACCAGATTTGGGCTTACAATTATTTTGTACAAATACTGGTTTCTGAAATTTTTCGCCATGAAATCGAGGAGAGAATGTTCTGTAGAGAATCTCCTAGTCCCTACAATTTTAATTTTACCAAAGGTCATTGTACATTGTCTCCCTGATATTTGTACCGTTCCACACCAGCCGATGGGGTTGATGATGTGTATCATTATAGTATTGTAGTGGAGGCAATGAAACACTTGTGTTGACACGAATTCAATAACTGAAAGTATAACTATAGATGAGCATTGAAATGTACAAATTGAATAGGAATACAATTTCACAGGAGGGGGGATGAAACGTGTTTAAAGTTTCAAAAAGTCAGTGTACAATTACAGCTTGTGAGTTGCTAGATTCCTCCTAATGGACATACTTGAAAATGAAACCACCTGTTGTACTGGTACTATGTACTAACATTTACTGATAATTATCTCCTCGATACTCAGTCAGAATGTTAACTAACAAACATGTTCATTTACTTTAGTAGTTGAGCACTATGTACACGATTTCTACAGGTTAAGGTTGCTATGCACCCATATTATTTAGGTATGCAATTTATCTCGGTAGTCCTAATGGCTAATCCTACAAATGCAGACTGAACTTCACCCTGCTACCAGAGTAATTCTTATAGTTAGTTCAAGACTCCACATTCAGTTTGGACCTGGTATGAGATGTGGTAAAAATTACCACATTCAGCTTGGACCGGTAGTAAGCCGGTGTAAACACTAAGTTGGTAGTACAGTGGTTAGTAGTTGTGTGGTAGTCTAGACGAAGAGGAAGATTAACTAATTTATATAAGATCATATATTCTTCACATTCAGAGATCATAGTTTCGGGTTCGCTTTTGTTGTTATAATCAGTAGTCACTTGCCTAAATTTTCAGCTGCGCTGGAGATTTTCCAAATAGTTGAAATTGTGGACGTTACAGTCCTGTTTCCGAGTTTACGTCTTGTTTTATTTTGGATCAATTGGTGGGGGGACGGTTGTTTTCCGTACGTCCCGCTCGCTGCGCGCACAACAATTTATCACAGCGCGAAGATTCATGTGCATTTCATCGAGATCTATAACTTACTTTTTCTTTCCGCTTCACTAAACTATTATCACATGGTAGTGTGTAAGCCTATTATTTAATAACCGGTGTCTCGTCTCTAGGAAGCTGGGTGAACCTACTATGACATGAGTGCAGGTCAAGTGTTGGCACTACTTCTTCTATCTTCTCTAGCCGCCACAACAAACCTCACCAACACCGAGGAAGAAGAAGATCAGGGACCCACTGAAGACGCACCAGAATACAAATGCTTGCACTGCGACATAACCACAGACATCATGTGCTATAATAACCAGTGAGTTTTAACTGTTATGTAAGTTGTTTGTCTCAGGATTTCACGTTGTAAATGTTCAAATAGATTTGAATAAAGAATGTTAGTACCAGTTGGATCTGTGAATTTTCTGTAAGTTTCAGATACAAAATGAATCTATATCTTCGTTGTGTTTACGTTTTCATTTTATATAGATAAGTGATATATTTGGTATGTGTCTGTGTTTTCTCTTGAAGTGTGACCTGCTAATTCTAACAGGTCGTGTAACGCCGATGTAACAGGACACCAGTACTGTTACTTCCGCCTCATCCAGGTCTTCAACGCCAACAAGACCAAATGGGACTGGGACTATTTTACCAACTACAGAGAATGGGGCTGCACGACAGATTTGGAAACGTGTGAGAGAACCTGTAGTGAGACTGAGGGTTGTAACAGGAATCAGTCTGTGTGCTGTAACGCACAGTTGTATCAGCTAAACGGCAACTACAGCCAGGAGAACCACGCGGCGTATTCTCGCTGCTACTACGGGTCCGGGTCCCGGGTGGATGTTGTTATGAACTGTCAGTTTTTAGTTCTCAGTATCCTCATATTAGATTGGTTAGTGAGGTGAGGAAGACGGGGGTTACACCCCCGCTATTATCGAGGGGTCTTACAGATATAAAAGATATGAGACTTTCAGGGTGTTTTTTAAGTTCAGGGATCGTTTGAGCTACTACAGCAGGGGTAAATGTTCTGAAATACACACTTTCCTTTTGTTCTAACAGATTTTATTCATAGCAACGACTTTTTTAGCGTAATTGAAATCTGTAGCGATTATAAATGTGAACGAAAGGAAATGTGAATGGAGGCTTCAACATTGCTTTTATAACTGTGATAGCTGCATATCCGACATTTGGATTTCAATTGTGAGGGTTGACTGTTGTTAGATGAAACTTAAAATTAATAGAATCAGTATTTTGGTAGATTTGGATAATCTGGCGTCTATTTCAGTTTAGTATATAATAGTATATATTATAAGGTTAATTATAAGGTTAATTCAGCCAATAACTTCGTATAACTGAGCTGGTTTAAAAGAGTTTTGAAAGAAAAGTCTTACACATGCGAGCTTTAAAGTTAATCTATTCAAAAATGTTAAGTTGAGGCTAAAAACTTTTCGATCTGCAAAAGTTTGCCTTTGGGATACTGTTATGTCATGTAAAAAGATCAGATATCATGTCAAATTGTTTTCAGTATAAACCAAAACTTTAATTTGTTGGTTTTAGATTTAACAGTTTTCTACATTTTTATTTCTGTGTGTGTCGTTTAAATTAATCTATTTATTACACCGAATGGAATGTAATCCTTTCTTACAACAAATTAAATTCAAAGAAAAAAAAACGAGAGGATTCTGACCCAAAATTATCGTCGACAGAAAACAAGAAGTACATAATATTCGTAATATTCGTATCGTCCCCGACGTTCCAGATGTATTCTACTGCGTGGTAACGCGTGCTTGTGACAATTGGGTCAAAGGTACAGCCTCCAAGATAATTGGCTAATTCAGTTTGTACCTATGGACTGTTTTCTATCGCTGTGCCTAGCTTTATATGTTTTATCCATTCGGTTGCACTTGCTTACGTCTAAAATTGGGTGTCATGTCTTGTTTTTATTAGTTATTAACTGAAGTGAAAACTTTGAAGCGGCTCCTGTCCTTGGAGCTGGGAATTTAAGAATAAGGCTATAGAAAAAGGCTCGTGAACCTGTTATGTTAACTCTAATTCCCTTGCACCTTGGATTTCTACTAGTCTCTTTGACTTTGTTCTTACTCCCAGTTCCTCTGACTTTTTTCCTACTCCCAGTTCCTCTGACTTTGTTCCTACTCCCAGTTCCTCTGACTTTGTTCCTACTCCCAGTTCCTCTGACTTAGTTCCTACTCCCAGTTCCTCTGACTTTGTTCCTACTCCCAGTTCCTCTGACTTTGTTCCTACTCCCAGTTCCTCTGACTTTGTTCTTACTCCCAGTTCCTCTGACTTTGTTCTTACTCCCAGTTCCTCCTACTTTGTTCCTACTCTCAGTTCCCCTGACTTTGTTCCTACTCCCAGTTCCTCTGACTTTGTTCCTACTCCCAGTTCCTCTGACTTTGTTCTTACTCCCAGTTCCTCTGACTTTGTTCTTACTCCCAGTTCCTCTGACTTTGTTCCTACTTCCAGTTCCTCTGACTTTGTTCCTACTCCCAATTCCTCTGACTTTGTTCCTACTCCCAGTTCCTCTGACTTTGTTCCTACTCCCAGTTCCTCTGACTTTGTTCCTACTCCCAGTTCCCCTGACTTTGTTCCTACTCCCAGTTCCTCTGACTTTGTTCCTACTCCCAGTTCCTCTGACTTTGTTCCTACTCCCAGTTCCTCAGACTTTGTTCTTACTCCCAGTTCCCCTGACTTTGTTCCTACTCTCAGGTCCCCTGACTTTGTTCCTACTCCCAGTTCCTCTGACTTTGTTCCTACTCCCAGTTTCTCTGACTTTGTTTCTACTCCCAGTTCCTCTGACTTTGTTCCTACTCCCAGTTCCTCTGACTTTGTTCCTACTTCCAGTTCCTCTGACTTTGTTCCAACTCCCAGTTCCTCTGACTTTGTTCCTACTCCCAGTTCCTCTGACTTTGTTCCTACTCCCAGTTCCTCTGACTTTGTTCCTACTCCCAGTTCCTCTGACTTTGTTCCTACTCCCAGTTCCTCTGACTTTGTTCCTACTTCCAGTTCTTCTGACATTGTTCCTACTCCCAGTTCCTCAGACTTTGTTCTTACTCCCAGTTCCCCTGACTTTGTTCCTACTCCCAGTTCCTCTGACTTTGTTCCTACTCTCAGTTCCTCTGACTTTGTTCTTACTCCCAGTTCCTCTGACTTTGTTCCTACTCCCAGTTCCTCTGACTTTGTTCCTACTCCCAGTTCCTCTGACTTTGTTCCTACTCCCAGTTCCTCTGACTTTGTTCCTACTTCCAGTTCCTCTGGCTTTGTTCCTACTCCCAGTTCCCCTGACTTTGTTCCTACTCCCACTTTCTCTGACTTTGTTCTTACTCCCAGTTTCTCTGACTTTGTTCTTACTCCCAGTTTCTCTGGCTTTGTTCCTACCAGCAGTTCCTCTGACTTTGTTCCTACTCCCAGTTTCTCTGACTTTGGTTCCTACTCCCAATTCCCCTGACTTTTTACTTCTAGTTTTGTTCGCCTAACATTTACAGCCTTTTTCTGAACTGAGGAGAGAATATTCAGGCTCCAGAAAGCAGGGTGGTGATAGGTACTATCCATTTTGGCGACACAAATATAGAAATATAGCATATACGACAATTAAATGTGAGAACATATTTTGGGAATGTTTCTGTCATGTCTCAACTGACTGTCTCGGCAAAATAGTGCCAGAATATAATGCAGCACTATATTTCAAAACGCTCAAACCTGCACATGGTGATAATGAAGTAACAAGTTTGTTAATTCTTGTGGAGGCTTCTAGTTCGGACTGTGTTGGCAAATATGACACTTGAGGCTCTGTTTTTTTTTCTTTGACAAGTGTACATAGTCGTCAACAACCAACAATTCTGCCTCTTAATATTGAGTACTTTTTGTTAATCGTCGAGGGAATAGTTGCTTTTTCTTTATCTTGTGACCCATCTTATGTATGGGGCCTAACGACTTAATTAAATCATAAAGTGCTACGTCAGCATTGGATCTAAACAAGAACTGCGATCTCAATGTAGCCGCTTAGGCCTTACCTGAACCCTAGTGGGATTATTCGGATAATCGGGTAGGGCGACATCGACTTTTTGATTATTTAAGACTTTCTGGCTGTCACCTTACGGTATGATAGTTTTTGGTTTTCGATGAACTATATAGCCATAGGTTTATCAGAAGAAAACTATAAAGAGTATGGAATTTCTTGAGACTGAGGTAAAATGAACTAATCTGTGCAAGTAGTTTTGTGTACTGGCCACCCCGTATTCCATACTGTTACATTTTAAGATGTCTACTATTTCAAAGTTTAATTTTTTAAACTGGCAAAAAATTTAAGAAGAACATTTACTGACATTTACCGCCGCCTTTTTTAAGGCTTAAATACCTTGTGGAGTCAAGTTTTTCTGGCTCTGGATGTTTCTCCTCAATAAGAAAATCGGAAATTAGAGTGCTTGCAATCCACGGTAATGTAGCTACTTCTCGACCACCCCGTACTCCACACTGCTATAACAAGTATCATGGGAGTCGGGCTGGATATATGAATATCAGTATCAATTTCCTGTAACATACAGAGTATGTCAAGTAGCTGCACAACAGGCAACAATAGAGTATTACACCACACGACCTGTAGGAGTCCGCTTATTGGACACCACTCTGCAGTTCCTGCATCCTACATCGTTATTGTTAGTGTTACGAGTTCATAACTAGCATGTAGCATGGCAGTAACACTATTGTAGCGTATTACTACTACTCTACAGTCCACTAGTAGTAGTAGTACTCCTACTAAATTGCAATTGCTCGTGCTACCTAGTAGTAATAATATAATAACAATCGTAAATCATTGATCATGATATGATTGTGTTTCAAGATGTGTCCCAGTACACCAATGTGCAACATGCAGCCGCGTGTGTCTAGTTGCTTAATCGCACTGTTTGTTATCAATATATTTGTCTCTCGTGTCTTGCATTGTTGGTGTCAATTTGCACCGAAAGTGCAAATGCTTGATTTTGATGTTATTTTTTATTAATCTTGTTATTAGCTACTTTCGTATTTGTTGCTACTTTCGTATTCATAGGAACGTTTATGCAACCAATTATTGTAATATGGTAATTGCTCACTAACTCCCAAAAATACTACCATAATGTTGTCCAATTAGCAGTTTTTCAGAACGATTATTTCGTTAAAAGTGTTTACTCCTAATTTAATCTGTTCAGCTACAACTCAACAACAATAGGATTGCGACCCAAGCACCGTCTTGGCATTAAGACATTATCACGATTATGTGGCAATTTGTGGCATCATGCTTCAAATGCAGAGATTGAGTCCTCAGGTGTCCCCACGCTTTAACAGCTGGCTTTAGTCACGCTCGAACCTGGCTACAGTCGCAGCTGTAGTCCGACTAGTAGTAGTGTAGTTGTACAGCATGCACCCGACTAGTGTAAGATTGTATTAATATGGTAAAATATTCAGCCCTAGTGAACAGGTCCCTAATCTTATTGTATAGACTTTAATATTGAATATTAAAGAATATTCAGTCCTCCAGAGTACTGGTCTGCAGGTGTTTGAGAGAGCAGATGTTCATGGTATCATTATGTTGGCGTTTGTCCTCAATCGTATTTTTAGTTTTATCAAAGTCTCTTCAGCCTTTATAAGTAGTATAATACGTTTATAAGTATAACTTTCATCAGTATAATATTTATAAGTATAATGTTTAATACCACATTAAACCCCACTGTATTAATTCTAATACAAAGAGCAAGAGGAAAACATCAGTGACATATTTGTGGTAGACAAAATGAGGAGGAAACCCTTAAAATATAATCAGTACGTGAATGTTTATGTATGGCCTCAGGAAAGTTGGAAAAAATTATTGAGTTTGATGTCAATTTTTGTTATAGAGTAATAAGATGTCAAATTTACAGTTATTCAATGCAATAACTTACGATAAACGAATATTGACATATTTTGATGTCGGCTTTTACTTTGTTAATTCTATACTAAAAGTTGTTAACTTAGTACGGTTTTGTTGTATTTTTAGGACCCTGTTTATTGATTTTAATATCTCGCCACGTAGACCACGTATAGTTATACTAGTTATACTAGTTAGTTTACTAAGACAAGTTTACAAAATCTGGAGGCCACGGTAGGATACGAACCCACGCCCCGGAGGACCTAGTTATACTTCCTATTTTATTTCCCATACAAGGCTAAAAGTCTTTGAGATTTAAAATTGATTTAGTCAAGTAAGCAGCGGAATTTTGATTAATTACGTTATCAGAGTCCTGAATCTGTGAGCAGTTTGTTTACTAAGAACTATCCAAATTGTATTACATTCATCTATTTTACTATAAGTACTAAGTTTGATATGATTTTCATATCATATTATTATATTATCATATTTTTTGTAAATCAGTTATTAGAACTGTCAGATCCAATCCTGCACAGTGCATATTTCAAATTTTATGTTTTAGGGATTTTGGTAGGTTTGTAAACTTTGACGATTATGACATATTACATAAAAATATAATTTATTCTTTGTATAAACGATTTCTTCGTAAATCGTTTTATACGTAGGTCATTACCTACATTGACCTACATATCGAGCGGTGGCCACACTTACAACTCACTGTCCAC